ATCCATCTTGACTTAATTTTCGTGACAAGGAGTAAAAGGAAAGGATCCAGTTTCAGCTTTACTCTATGGCTGGGCCAGTTTTCCTCTAGCACCATTTATTAAATAGGGAATCCTTTCCCCATTTCTGTTTCTCTCAGGTTTGTCAAAGATCAGATGGCTGTAGATGTGTGGTATTAGCTTGAGGACTCTGTTCTGTCCCATTGGTCTATCTCTGTTGAAAAACTGGCATTAAGACAGGGATTACCCTCTCTCTCACTCACTCCTATTCAACATAGTGTTGGAAGTTCTGGCTAGGGCAACTGTGGCAAGAGAAAGAAATCAAGGATTCAGTTAGAAAAGAAGAAGTCAAATTGTCCCTGTTTGCAGATGACATGATTATATATTTAGAAAACCCCATTGTCTCAGCCTAAAATCTCCTTAAGCTGATCAGCAACTTCAGCAAAGTCTCAGGATACAAAATTAATGTGCAAAATCATACATTCTTATACACCAGTGACAGACAAACAGAGAGCCAAATCAGGAATGAACTTCCATTCACAATTGCTTCAAAGAGAATAAAAATAATCTAGGAATCCAACTCAAGGAAGGGAAGGACTCCTCAAGGAGAACTACAAACCACTGCTCAGTGAACCAAAGAGGGACACAAACAAATGGAAGAACATACCATGCTCATGGATAGGAAGAATCAATATCGTGGAAATGGACATACTGCCCACAGTAATTTATAGATTCAATGCCATCCCCATCAAGCTACCAATGAGCTTCTTCTACAGAATTGAAAACTGCTTTTAAAAGTTCATATGGAACCAAAAAGAGCCTCGTGATCTCCAAGACAATCCTAAGTCAAAAGAATGTGCTGGAGGCATCACGCTTACCTGACTTCAAACTATACTACAAGGCTACAGTAACCAAAACAGCATGGTACTGGTAACAAACAACTTTTTTCCTCTTGCTTTGGAATTAGATCATCTGAACATTTAGTAGTCTGCTTAAATTGTACTGAAAGTACCTTGAGGAACAGGTACCTGACAAGTAACTTTATAACTGTAGTAGCCCAAAGAGAGGAGCACATCCTATTGATTGGATGAGTCTAAGAGAGATACCTGCTGGCTACATTTGAATAGCTACTCTGATACATCAGTAGTCCTATTTTTAAATATATAATTAGGAAAAAGAAAAAAATTGAGTAAAATAATTGAGAACACTTACAGAATTTAATTTATTCAAATGAAGTTGATAATTAGATTATAACTACAAGTTCACAATTAAACAAGAAGAGTCACTTTAGAAAAATGCTGTAGATGTGCACATTGATAATGAAGGTACTTCTTTTAAATAAGTAGATATTATAGCCATATATCATATACCTAAAGTAATAGTAAATAAATGATTCTGAAACTAATGTAGTATTTAGCTGGGCAAAATCATTATTGCAAGTCAAAATCTGAAAAAAGAGCGACAAATAACAGAAAACATAAAATGTTATCCTCAGATATTAACCCATAAAGTTTTACAACTGTCACACCTTTAAATACATGTTGGCATCCTAAGACCTTTCCTTTTTTCAACTCTATTTATTTATTAATGTAAATGATACCCAAAATGCTCATAAATATTATTATGCAGATTTTTTTCTACAATCACCATTTCCAAAGACACCCCGGAGAAGGGGACATAATTTAAATAATTTTGCCTGTTTGCCACACACTGCCTTATTCATACATTGCTTTAAAAATCTATATAAAAAGAAAATTAAACTTCAACAAATAAAACAAAGAATTAAAGCCATTGAAAAAAAGTAATGTCTCATACATGAGATTGAACACTGGAAAAAGATTTTAGCCACTTGAAACGTCTTTCTCTTTTTATATGAGTTATGTACAATAGTCAGTGATTGTATGTTTAGAAGTGGTTTATTCCTTTGATCAACTTTGCTAAACATAGAAGACTGAACTCAATCTCTTATAGCAAACTTCTTTAGGTTAAAACTAGTGGCTTATCTGGCCATTCGATCTGAATCTTTCTCCTGTTGGCACTATTGCTGTATTGCACATTTGATTCCTTTCCTCGGCAGGTGAGTTACTATATCAGTGACCTTTATTTGGTTTTAAAGAATTGTGACATTTTTGTGTATGAGAGTAAGGAGTACCAAAGGCATCTTCCCAAGACCTTCAGTTTTTTCTTGCATTAATGTCAGCTTCAGTCATACAGGGTTCATTTAGGGAACATCAATTCTTTACCTATCGAGGCCTCATGTCCCTTTTCTTTTTCACACGTTCCATAGAAAACACATTTTTTTTGTACCTCTATGCCATGCGACTAATAAATAATTTCACATTTCAAAAAATTGATGTTAATATTCCTACAGATAAGGAAGATTATTTTTCCCGGCTTCATCTAATATTTTTTCATTCTTCTTCCCTTCACTCAAATTATCCTCAAGTTAAAATAGAATCATTTTATTAAACTTATTTCCTATGTTGTTTCAAAACATTTTTGGAAAAAATGTATTCTGACTAGAAATAGAAACCAATTATTTTCACTTACACATGAAGAAATTGAGATTCAGAGAGAGTAAATGATTTCCCCAAGGATTGTTTTTTACTTGTTTTTTTGTTGTTTATTTTCTTGTTTTTGTTTCATTTAATATATTGCTCAGGCTTGCTTTTTGCCTTTTAAACATTTAAAAAAATTATGTTCTCTGTTAATTAAATAAATCTTAGATGTTCCCTGAATAATTATGTAAGAATAACTTGGAAATCGATGTTAATTTCCAAAAACTATTCTATATCTCCAACTTCATTCTTCTTTAGTATATATATTATCTTATTAATTTCTGATTATTACCTACTGACATCAGTATTTTCCTCCTTTTGAATAGTAATCTCAAATCTCTTCTTACCATGCAGTCAATACTTAAAGATTTCATGGTTTGCACTCCCAATATATTTATATTTATATTTTTATACATTTGACGAAATAGTACTATACACACACTTTTATATATTATGGAGCATTCAGTCAACATTTCAAATGATAAAATAAACATTGAAAATGTATAAGAGGATTATTGTGTCCATCCCAACTATTTCTATATTTACAATTTGGCCTAGACACAAATAGTTCATTTAATAATATGTGAAACAGGACAAACAAACTGATAAGATGTGAAGATAATAAAGTGAACAAAGTGCATCTAATTTTGACCTTAACCTGACCATTGTTCTGCTGAAAGATGATGTATAGAACAATTTGAATATACGATTTTCTAATGATAGCATTCTAACTTTTTATTCTTTCACTACCTTCATCCTATTGTAATGACTCTTTATATACATCAATATTATCAATGATTCCAATTTTTTTCAACCATGCAATCTATTCTACCCCAACTCTCTGCTCTATTTCTATGTGAAATCCACTCCTTAATCAACTCCTGCATATCTGTCCTTTTCCTCTCACCATCCCTGATTGGCCAACTCTTACAACAAGCTCAATGTCGCTATGCTTTTCTCTTCTCTTCTTTTAATCCTAGGTTATAACTAGAGAGAAAGTTACAGAAAAATTTTACTCTGTGGTACTTCACCTGTATGGTCTTCACTTTCTGTTGAAACTTCAACATTTTTTTCAGCATTAATCCTTTTAATGATATTTTATGCATTTAATCTCTGTAACTATATATTAAAGATTCACCACTTTCCTCAAACCCTATGTCTTTCTCTTTGACTCTTAATCACTTTTGTTGATAACTTTGCCGACTACTTTATTTGGTAAATGGAGGCCATGATGTATCAAATTTAATTTATCCATCTCTTTAGCCAATATTTATCATGCTCTTCGTTGTTTTGGGTATACAGCAGTGGAAAAGTGTTATCCTGGGCCTTTATATTTCATGAGGAAGATTGATGTGGCAGATTCAGTTGTTCCCTCACTAGCCTCTTTTCTCATAATTGGGTTTAACTGGAACATAGAATTTAACAGTGATTATGGATGCAGGGTGCTGTACCTGGTATTTTAAATTTTATTTCATCTCTACTTTCTGATATTTTACCTAATTAATCTATATTAGTTGTGTAATTTTTTTAGAGTCTGTATAAAACAGAAATCAATGACAAACCTGTATGAAGCTTAATGAGTACCAAATATTATGCTAAACTATAAACATGGAATTTTTTTTTAATCCTTGCCACATACTGAGAGTTTGGTAGGCAAGTCTGTCTAAATATAAAATGCGAAGGTGAGATTTAAAGTGTTAACCAATTGGATCAAGGTCAAATATCCATTAAAGAGATAGACCTGTGATGTAAATCTAGGCAAATCTATCCAAGGAGTGCATGCAATTAATCTTACAACAGGAATTTCTAAGTAGCACAGGCATTTCGAAAATATCAATGAATCCTTGGTTGCATCTACTAAAGAACTGATGTTTATCAACTGCTCCCAATTTCTGGCTTACAAAGATACTTAAAATTAAGAACTAAACCTGTGATGTGTCCTCAGAGGCTCCACAGGATGTGGTCAGTGTCTACCCCTACCACCTTCATATTGAACCACTATTTTTTTAGTCTCTGAAGCTCAAGCCTTATGGGCTGTTTGCTATGTTTGTTCAGTGAATACTACATAATCTCTTGTATGTCACATCTTTTGCATGTGATATTCTTCCTGTCTGTGAAGATCTTCACAACCACACATACCTACCCCACTTCAACTACTGTACAGCATTAAATCACTGTGATTGCAAATACAATAATGTTTTAGTTAATTTTTTTATTGTGATACAATTGTAGATACCTATGAATTTGTAACAAATAATATGGATATATCTAGTCAACCCTTCACTCAGCTCCCTCCAGTGTTAAAATTGTGAATGATTATAGCACTTTATAATAACCAAAAATTAGCATTGATATAATCTACTATTATTTAGCTTTTATGTTTTATTTGAATTAATTTATGTGTGTGTATTTACTCCTATACAATTTGATCATATTTGTAGGGTTGTGTGATTATCATCACAGCAAACATACAGAAAAATTCCATCATAAGGATACTTAGTGAATCCTTTTATAGCTAAAGCCACCTTTCTTCCTCCTTCCTTCATAATTCCAGGTAACAACAAATTGTTCTCTATCTCTATGATATTGTCATTTTTAAATAATTTTATATAAATGGAATTTGTGTAAACTCTTTAATTTTTTTCTCTTTTTTTCTTTCTTCGGTGACAGTCTTTTTACTTTTTAGGACAGTTTTACATATACAGGAAAACCATGAAAATGAATCAGAGAGTTCCAATATATTCAGTTTCCTGATAGTTAGCATCTTATATTAGTATGGCACAATTGCTGTAATGAATGAAAGAAATATTGATACATTAGCATTAAATTAGATGTTTTATTCATATTATCTTAGTATTTGCATAATTTTTTTTCTTTTCCAGGATCCCATCTAGAATACCATAATATATTATATTTAGTTGTCAAGTCTCCTTAGGTTTGTCTTGGCTATGATAGTCTCAAGATGTATTTGTTTTGATGGTCTTGAAGGTATCGTTGGATATTGTGAAGAATGTCTCTCAACTGGATTGTCTGATGTTTTCCCCACGATTAGACTGAGATTACCAGTTTTGGGGAGAAAGACCACAAAGGTAAAGCGTCATTTTTAGTTTTATCACATCTTGTCAAGAGATATGCTATGAATATGACACTGTTGCTATTTCTTTGATCTTCTAGCTGAGATAATGTTTGTCAGATTTTTCCACTATGAAGTTTTTTGTTTCCTTTTTGAAATTGTACTCTTCGGAAGGAAGCCACCATGAGTAGTCCATACCTAAGAAGTGTGGAGCTATGCTTTACCTCCTTGGAGGTGGAGTGCCTACATAAATTATTTGGAATTCTTCTCACCAAATGGTTTCCTTCTTCTCCTCCATTTATTCATTAATTTTGTCACTTTATATCAACATAAATTTGTGAATACTTATTTTATATTTTTGTTATAATTCAATCCTATTTTATTTTGTTGCTCCAATTCTTCCAGCTTTGTCCCCTGGTGGCTCCTTGGTTAGCTCTTATGTCACTTTCAAGTGAATCTGGAATTGTTTGTTTTTGTTGTTGAGGCGCCCTCATTTTCTGTCCAAACAAGATGCTCCAGGCTCACCTTATATATTTACTTCCTCAGTCCTAGAATTAGCCATTTATCTAAGGAGATTCCTCTTTTTGGAGAGTGGTGTTAGAAACTAAAATCTGGTTACTACATGTGCTCAGTACGTTACCTTATGAGGCTGGCTTTTTTTTTTTTTTTTTTTTTTTTTTTTTTTTTTAACTCACTGTGAATCCCTTGAGATTCATTCAAATTCCTGTGTGTTTCAATAGTTTGTTCCATTTTATTGTTGAGTAGTATTTCGTTGTATAGTTGTATCAGAGTTTAACCATTCACCTACTGAAGGACATCTGAAATGTCTCTATTTTTAGAATAGTACAAATAACATTTGAACTATGAACGTTTATGATTTCTGAGAGTACAATGACTGGGTCATATGGTTGAGACATGTTTAGCTTTATAAGAAACTGGAAAGACGTTTTCCAGAGTGGATGTATCATTTACCTTCCCGTCCCACCAGCAACCTATTATTGATCATGTTTCTCTGTATCCTTGCCAGCATTTGCTATCATTATTATTATTATTATTTTAATATATTTTATTAGATGTGCAATAATATTTTACTGTAGTTTTACAATAATGTTTGATGTACTGCATGGAAAGCAGGAAGGAAGGAAGGAAGGCAGGCAGGAAAGAAGGAAAGAAAGCAGGCAGACAGGCTTGTTACCAATTAAGGATGCTTCATTGATTGTTGTTTATTGAATTTAAAATGTTAAAAAATGACAAAAAAAGTGCACCATAGAGTCAATAATAAGTAGCTAATATCTGTTCCTCCTTCGTATATCAGATAATAGGCTACTTTCTCATAGTAGCTTTGCTTGATCCTACAGTCTTGATGAGATCATCTACTTACATATTGTAGTAACTCTCTGTTCATTTTCTCCATAGTACTAATAATACCATTAATTATATCCATGTGCATTTAATTGATTAGTTTCACTCTTCTCACTAGACTACACTCCATGAAAACAAAGACTTTACCTACTTTAATTACTACACTATCTCCAATGCCTACTGCAAGTTCTGACATACAGGAGCTCAATACATATTGTTAAATATATAGATGTATTCTTAATTAATTAATACATGTTTGAAATGATGTGAGTTAATCTTCTTAAAGTTCTATTTACTTATTTATAAACAGAAAATTGATTTAGATCAATTATAAGACTTCAGACTTTCAGTTATAGGGACTTGCTAAGTGATAAATATTTTTTCCCTTTATAAATTGCCTTATCCCCATCCCCAACATGGACAAATGCATCAAATCATGTTTGTATCTTCCAGGAAGCTTCAGTTTCTAGGTATCTTGTGGGAGGAGGTCATGGTTCCTGCTGTTTTTATATTTATTTAGAAATTAATCTTAGACACATAAAAAAGACAATACCCTAGTACCTAATAAATATTTGGTTGATTGGGATAATATTACAAAAAAAATCATATCAATACAGAGTGATTTTAAATTTTAATAGTTAGTGAACTATAGTTGTAAGATATTTCAGAATTACTCAACTACTGAGATTAATACAGATTAATTTCAATGTATTTATTGAAAACATTTTCATGACACAAATTATTCTCCAAATTTATTACTAGATGAATAAAAACTAAATTATGTGCTATGGGCTAGGATAGCCAATCCAGTAAAATCCAAAGTGTTTATCTCCCCACTAAAACAGGAAGTAATAAATAATATTCAGTATCAATCAATAAATAGCAACTATGTATGTTTTGATGGGAAAGGAAGCTAAAATCACTGTCAAAGGGCATGGTTGGTGATGAGGTCATTTTTAGTTAAGTGTAGAATATTCTCCAAATAAATCGTATTATGTCTAAGCAATTTTCAGTCCTTTTTTGCCATAGCATAGCCTTATATAAAGATTGATAAAGCATAATTTAATCTTTATATATGGAAAAATTTGAGAAAAATAGATAACTTATCAGTGCATATAAGCAATCTAAATTATCTAGTTAGATAATTCAGGCCAAATTGCCTCATGTTTAAACAAACAGCAACTTAGATGCTCTGTTCCTTCCTCTCAATTTTGTCCTAAGAAGTGCTGATAGAGTCTGCTATCCCTTGAAGTTTGATTTCTCCTCCTTATTTTTAGCCATACACATAGAAAGCTACTTATCTATAATCTATATCCCTAGCTTATCTTTGCAGAGCTACATTGATTCCAGCAGGATGCTAGCAGAAGTTATACAGAGCTTCCAAGTCACAGTCTTAAAGAAGGTTGAGTATCTTCAGTTCCACTGACTAGGAAAAAAATGGTTAATACCTTATTTAAAAAATGAGAGTTAAATAAGATAATTCATGTAAAACATAATAATATTAGATATTATTAATTACATTATTATCAATTATATATTAGTTATTGATTTTTGTTCTTATAAAATACTGTAAAATAAAAATTATAAATTGGCAACTCCAAGGAAAATGTTATTAGAATGAGGCCAGAATTCTATATCCAGTATTAAGTGCATTCTTGAATTTCACTCTGAATCTCCTGAAGCCAAAACAAAATAAGAAAATTTATCTACTTACACAATCTACTGTGTCCATGAGGAAGTATTGTGTCTGAAGGAGAAATAAGAATTCTAAATACTGATATATTAAAGTAATTTATTTCGTGACCTTTTAATAGATGAACAGGAAGCTCTGTACCTACTTCTGTACCTCTATCAATATAATTTGAGGTGAAATTTCAAAGCTTAATGAGGTAAATGCAGTTCTGTAGGAGTCAAGGACAATATACAGGCAGAATGGCAGCATGTGTAAAGATAGAAACTGACTTATAAATCTGGATTTGATCTTACCTGTAAATTTTTAGGCAAATTACTTATCTTAAACAAACATAGACCCTTGGACAGCCTAGGAGACTAATAATACAAATTCATTCAATCTCAAAGAAAAATTTTAAATGCACTGAGATTATTTTTATTAGCTATTTATATCATGTTAGTAGTAAAGATTTTTGAAGAGTCACAGGAATAAATTTATTTTCAGAATAGCAAGGCACATTTCTTATGGCCAGAAGAATTTTCTGCAGAAATAATCAGTCCTCACAGGGAACCGGGGACTTGTAGTAAAGCCTGAAACTTCATGTGGGAAGATGTTGTATTGTTCCCAATTTATATGGTTGTTTTGGTAGCTTCCATGTAAGAAAATTATATCACTTATATTTCTCTGTGGACATCTTTCCATCAATCTTTCCATCTTTCTCAAAGGTTGGGGTCAGAATATGGACTAGCACAAAGACTTAAAACCTAAATATTAGATTGATTTGGGGGAATTAAGAACAACACGACAACAAAACTTGGAAAAGGAAATGATACTAGAATGCTAGGAATTTACTCAGGCTGTTTAAGCAAAGATCTTGTAAATATTTACTAGTGAGGATGGATTTTCAATAGAATATGACTATTATTTCTATTTGGGATAGCTTAGCAGACTGCATTTTAAAAATATACAGTTCGAAATGGTGAAGTGGATATTTCCCTATTCGATTCTGGAATTCCATTAGTTTTAACAAAAGAAGTAGAGATGCCTGAGTTTCCAACAGGCTGAAAGCAATAAGCACTCAATAAGGAATCTAGTGGATAAGCAAAACAGGAGCTAAAAGTGTAGATCCTTGTTTTCAGACATAAGTACATGAGGTGTTAGTGTTAGAAATGTTAATGGGTCAGAAGACTGATTCAACCCCATTCTCTCTGAAGTGGAAGTTTGTGATACCTAAAATTTACAAGGGCTGAGGATTTCTTTGACCCAAACAGGCAGACTGAAGACTAGTGAAACACACACACACATGCACACACACACGTGTGTGTATATATATATTTCTTTTTAAAATTTGTTTTCAGAGTACAGAATTTTAGAATGGATTTCACACTTGGACAATATTCCTTGTGAGTATAGAGACAGAAGAATTTAGGTGACACATAGAATTTTCAGTGCTAACATGTTGTATAATAAGACTTTTTGCCAAAATGTCTCTGAATAATGTGAATGATCCCTGGCCAGTGAGAGAGATTCTGTGGGTAAATGTTTGGCTAACATGTCAAAGCAGTTTGACTATTACCAGAGTTATCCCTGATTCCAGAGTATGCTAAATTGGTTCAAAGATATGAAGATCAAAGGGTTAACTAACTTTTCTCCTTCAGGCATGGTTGTGTTTAAGGGAAGATATTTTGCTGCAGTGGAGCCAAAAGAGATAAGTGGAGAAAGCTGGAAATATGCCCAGCTTCTCTAATCCTAAGATCTTTGGGAAAATAACTATTTTATTTTCTTATTCCCTTGAGGTGTTTTACTAATCATGGATCTTACTAAGCTTTCTTAGGAAGGGAAAGCATCTGACAAGGAGTAGAATGTTTGTTTCCAACAATTGTCCCTGCTCCCACTACTTTTTAAAAATGTCCTTAGTAAAAAGTGTATATGAGGTAAGATTATATTGAAAAAAAATGAATATAAGAAAAAATTATTATATT